GACCAGAACTTTTATCGCGAAGGGCCGACATTTATCCTTTTATCCCAATGTGATCGAATTGCTTGGAACTTTTCGTTTAGAACGATTATTTATTGCATTTTTACAGCTAACGGAAAATCGGTGGACGCCACGCAGGAGCTGATAGCAATCGGTATATCGAATATCGGAAATTCCTTCATGCAAGCTTTCCCGGGCACGGGATCCCTCAGCAGGAGCGCGGTGAACAACGCTTCCGGTGTCAGGACGCCGTTCGGCGGCGTTTATACTGGTGAGTTCCGTTCGTGGCTTCTCCGCAAATCAATTGTTGCATCCATTTATCCTGTAGAGTTGGAAAGTTGAAAGTGGAGAAAAATCGGAGAATGATATCTTGCAAAGATTTCCTGCGCTCTCGCTAAATTTCTTCGATAATATAGAATTTGCCCAGAAGCAAGTCTTTTGTTAACCCTTTAAGGACGAGTGTCTTAAACGAGCCTTATCCTGCAGAACACAAAAAAAGAAAAACTAAATTATTCGTGCAAATTAAATTTTAATCAGAGTTGGAATTTTTTATAAAAAAATTATGTAAATTTAAACCTTATTTTATTATTGGAATGTAATATTATGACAGTATTAAAACAGCAAATACTAATTGTAACTCTCTCGTAGCATGTCAACATCTTAATTCGTTTATTTTTTAATTTATTCGATTGTGCTGATGAAGACTAAGTATAGTAACAATCTGGAATTTCAGGTGTGCTGGTAATTTTAGCCCTGCTATTCCTCACCCCGTACTTCAGTTTCATTCCACGCGCCACTCTGGCGGCTATCATTATCGCCGCGGTCATCTTCATGGTCGAAGTCAAAGTGGTGAAGCCGATGTGGAGGACGAAAAGTAAGAGCGCACATACCTCTCACAAGATACCAGATAAATTTGCGATACGCCACGAAATTAACTTGTTCCTCCTTCTCGCAGAATCCGACCTCATCCCGGGGCTGGGAACGTTTATCGCGTGTTTGGTGCTGCAATTGGAGATCGGCATCCTCTGCGGTGTCGGGATAAATATTCTCTTCATCCTGTATCACGCCGCCAGGCCGAAAATATCCGTGGAGAAACTCAAGGTAATTATTGATTTGCTTGAAATATGAAATCGATTTCTCATTCGCGAGCGTTTGCTTTAACTCTTCAATTTTTCATACTGCTCTTTATTCAAGCTCGTATTCTTTACGGATTTGACTGATACGCTGTTAAATTCATGTAGTATTAAATTACACTCAATTTGAGTCATTATTTTTAACCATTCCTATAGGTCACCGCTACTCGCATTCAATGTGTCGTTAATTTAACTAAATCAATTGAGTTGAAATAATACTGTTTTGCGTTAAAATAATAAATCTTGGTACATGGTGGTTAAAAATAACAAAATATTATTTAACAAGGCTTATTTGTTTAAATTTTATCCTTTAAATATTTAACAGTGTGTCTTTCGGCGTGATAATACCCGTTTTCATTTTATTTTCTTTCGTCCGACAGACTCTTCACGGTATCGAGTACTTAATGCTGACGCCGGATCGTTGCTTGATCTTCCCGTCGGTGGACTACGTTCGCAATTTGGTAACCAAGTACAGCCGACGCGCCGAGAGCGTCGCGACGCCTGTAGTGATCGACTGTTCGCATATCTACGGTGCGGACTTCACGGCCGCCACGGTCATCGAGATCCTGACGAAGGACTTCGCCAAGAGGGGCCAGCCGCTCTTCTTCTACAATCTGAAGCCGTCGGTATACGCCGTCTTCGAGGGCGTCGAACCCACGGATTTCGTCGTCTACTACAATCAGGAAACGTTGGACGATCTACTGAAGGAGAAGGGCTACATGAAGTAGATGAAATGGAAGTCTTACGGCACGGTCGAAATATTGCTTCCGATCGTAAAATGTGCATTCGTACTTTCATACCATGTTCCTCGAGGCTGTTATCCGGATGCGACAGCCGGTTACCAAATACGCGAGAATTGGGAGACTTTTATAATTCCGATTCTTTGACGCGGTCGACTGGACTGCGAGGCAGCCCGTACGTGAATCTCTTCAAATCCAATCGTCATGAAAACGAAATTTTACGAAGCAACTTGTGTATTTATTACGTCGTCGTCAGTTCGGCGGTATCTCGCGACTTGAAGTTCCAAATAACAACGAAAGCGACGATAGAATGACGTAGAAGGTATCATCGACCGTAACGACAATGCCTGAAAGTTCAACTTTAAATCCTCGTTTAGGATCTAGGCGAAAAAATACTGGCGAAATCTTGATTCGCGCGGGTAGCGGAAGCAATCGGAGAAGCCAGAGAAAAGTTGAAGCATATATAAATATATATGTCGAATAGATTTCAAATATCTCGGTATATGTATATAATATACATGTATACTGTTATGTATCTCGAAGAGGGAGAGATATTATATGTAGAAGTGCAGCTTGGAAGTATCCTGTACGACAGGAAATTCCGGGAGCGACTGGGAAACGTCTGAAAAATTAAAATGCGGCTTAAAAAGGCGCCTTTTAGACATCTCAAATATCTCTATAGATCCTCGTTCAAATTCTTGTCTCGTCCAAGTATTTATTTAACTCCGTGATGAAGCGGGAACATCTGCGTAACGTTCCAATCGATATCACTCAGCGTTCTCGTATTTAAACCCCTTACGCTGTTTGAGATTCGCGGCAGGAAGAAGTTTCCATTGTACATTTTTATACGCCTACTGCTTTATGCAAAGTAGCACACCCCCTGTATTCTAGGAACGCGTGTACATATAAGTAAAATAAGTTCGAACAATACTGTGATAATTTTATAAACAACCTAAGGAGAACAGGAAGTCAAAATGATGTCAATTTGACGTCATATTGACCAAATTTACGTTACTTTTATATCAATATGACGAGAAAATGATGTCACTTTGACTGCAATGTGTTCCTTGGGAATGTCTGGCGGAGAGATATTCGGCGGATCGTAGCTTCCGTCGTGACGCTTGTTACGGGAATATGATAGATCTCTCGTGAATTTTTAAAAAACGTTTATTGCATCGACGACGCGTGCTTCATCTCACGCGTCGACAAAAAATTTCGCAAAACGCAACTAATTTATAATATTCTTGATTCGTAAAAGAAAAAAGTTTTTTCTATTATATGACTGCATGGTTTAACAAAAAAAATTTTTTAGTAAACGCTGTATGGTGTAAAAAATAGTATTAATTATACATATCTATATTTTGTAATAATAATTGTAAAGATAATTTTAATTTTAATATTATTATTAAAACTGTAACAGCGTTATATGAGAGCTTACAATTTAATTTTAAGTAAATTAAACAAACAGAGTTTTAAGCGATGCGGTAATATAATAGCAAAAGCAAAAGTTGTTGCGTTCTTTCGGCAGCGAGATGGGCTCTCGTATCGCTGAAAGATGGATTTAATGCGGCGTGCTACTTCGGCGAGATAATGCCGATATTAATCTGCAGAGAAATATTATGCTGCAACTATGCGTAATTACGTTACATAAAACAAGATTATAGAATCCTGTGGTAAATTACTTAATAGCGTCTGCATCTGTGCTATCGTGGATAAGCTTCGTCCACTCGATATAGACTTACAAGCGGTAAGTCTGTATATAATTGAACAATGTATATAAATTGCAATATAGTTTGTTTTATATCCTGCATATGTATATAATATATTATACATGTCAATTAATATGTAATTATTATGTAATCGTGTATTAATTTGTTTCCAGTCATTTCCAGTCTCCAACCCTTACAGAAATTTAATACTGTAAGTGATTATTTGGCTAGTGATTAATTACTTATTTTGAGTATTAAAAGTACTGTTTTTAATGATTTTAATACTCAAAATAAGTAATTAATTACTAGCCAAATAATCACAGTATTAAATTTCTATAAGGGAACGTAAAGAAAGAACGCAATTAGCTTCGAAACAATCTTCTCAAAATCAGTGACGCATATATTTATTGTAAAAAAGCACGTCACACATATAGTCGCAATTAAGTCAGAGATAATAATCAAAATGTTTAGATCAACGTGCAGACGTTCTTCGCGATTTCTGCGATAAATTTACGATTACAGTTTAATTTTGGAGATCGTCATCGATCATCATCCGCTTTAGATCGTCCGACTATACCAGACCTAAAATCCGTCCTTTCATATCGCGAGTGAAAATTGTGTAGAACGATTGTTTATTCAAAAATGATTTTAAAAAGCTTTTGTCGTTCGAAAAGTCACCCTCCTGTCCACCCTATATGCGCGATCGACACCCCTTTGCACGCGCGCGACACAACAGCCGTCGCGTTTCTCGATACAACGGTTAACGATGTAATACGCGATGACAGGGCGAGACTCGGTCCAGCGTAAGGTCGCTCTCGCGCTCTCATTAGCCTGATTGTTCATCGGCAGATATAAATCTTATCCCTACACGGCGCATTATATAGGGCGATGGTCTCCCTTCTCCCAGCCGGCCGGGCGTTATCGATTGTTACGAACACCGTCGCCAGAACCGTAGCCGAGGATCGCGGCGCCTACCCGCGAATTATTTCCAACGCCCCCGTTTCCGAGAAGGAACTAAAAAAAGAAAATCTCAGATTATTATAATTATTATAATTATTAAAAAAGTAAGGAGGAACCAGAGAAATCTGTCGCTGCCTAAAATTTAGCGAGAAGCCGATGGATCCGCGGAAACGGGGCAACGAGCGATCATGACCGCGATATAGTCTGCGCGGTTCGCTGTTCGCTGTCGGAACAGAGAAACGCGATGTGTTCCCGCAGCTTCCTTTCATCTCGCGGGATAAGGGAGATATCTCGGCGTATACGCGCGCGACGCCGCGACGCCGTCGACTTCCCGTCTCATCGGCGGGATGCAACACGCATGACGGCGGCGTGAAGCGGCGCGGGCGGACGGGCGCCGGGCATGGAGGAGCGACGGGTGACGGGTGGGCCGTGTGGACCAGTTACGGGTCTGCCCCGTGCCGTTTGATAACGCGCTAAATGTACGCTATCCGCGCGCGAGACCGCGCGCCCGCATCATCCGCAACCCTCCGCCGGCTGCGCCAGTCGCACGTTGGCCGATGACGGACGCGCACGGGGTGAAAGTGAACGCGTCTCCGACCGGCGGCACGCTACTCCGGGGTAAGTGCGACGATATCCTTCATCTCTCTCTCTCTTTCCTCGCGAAAGCCTCCCTTTGGGGAATAACTTCGGATTCGGTCGGGACGACCCCGCGGACATCCCTCCGGGAAAACCGACGTCCGGGAGTCTCTCCCCGACGTTTTCGGCGTTTTTTCGGAAATTCCGCGGAGAGCTGGCGAACATTTTTCTTCAAACTCAAAATTATTTACTGTAATAAATGTTCTCTGTAATTTATTCCGCTTTCAAGTTAAGCGAATCGGACAGAACCGTTTTGCATATCTTATTTTGCACTTCCAAGCAAAAGGAATATAAGAACGGAGCTTGACGAAGCTTTGCGCGAACCTGCTTTGCGTTTTATGGAAATAGGAGTAGGAGTGCGTTTCAGCCGCGAGAAACGAAGCGGATCCATTATGTATCTGTATTACGGAGCTTTTTTTTTAGTGTGAGCTGAGATTGTGTAATTTTCGAGAAATGCATTTTTGTCCGAGACTTTGAGACTAAATATTCGAATATCCCGAATCTCGAGGAGTAGTTTCAAGAACATGAAAATATCTCAAGTTTACTCCGTGTATCTTCTTATTACAATCGTCTCCGCATCATAAATTACATTTGATATCTTTTTATTTTTAAAATAAAAAGACCTTATTTAAAACCAAAAGATATATATATTTTTCCGAAACAAGCCTTATGGAAAAATACTACTGAAAGACAATTAAATTTAAAATATAGGGAAATGACTCGTTTTAAGGATCTATATTTTTTATTGTTACACTAAAGAAGGTCCTAAACTTTAAGACCGAAATGTCTGTAATTTGTGTCTATGTTTGTATTAAAGTTACTTTTTTGTATTTTATATTGGCGTTTTGCTCTTATTTGCCTTATATTTTAAATTTGATAATTTTTTTACTGATTATATATTAATTATTGTATTATATGACGTTATGTTCCTAATTTTTTAGACTGCACTTGAGAAGGACTGCACTTAAACCTAGAGTCGAAACGTAGTGCTTACTATTTATATTGTTGCCGGTTAGTCGAGCAACAAAATAATATTTTTTATTTTTAATCACTGGCGGAGGAAGTTATTTTTTCTATTTTAAATTTGATTGTACATCTTGAAAGCGTATTCCTTGTTTTAGACTACAGAAATACACTGTAGTTACAAAAAAGAATGCACGGGGAAATTATAGCAAATATTACAATAATTGCTATAATTTTGTGTGCTTCTTTCGCAACTACGATAGCTTTTTCCATAAAAAGGAAGGAGACACGCAGATGATTTATCCGAATATCTCCACATGGCAAATTTTTCCTTCATCAATTTTTGATTACATGTAATTGGGAAATTATACATATACTCAACTAAATTCTTGTTCAATTTAAGCTCACGTTGTTCTTACTGTCTAGGTAGCAGGATATTAAACACGTCTTAATGAAGTATTGGTTAACATTAGAGATGTCATTAATACGTTATTAATATGTTTTTTGACGTCACTCTGCTATTTGGGTGTCTTCACTGCAAATCCAAGTGTGTTATCTTCTACACACGAAAACATCTAAAAATGACACATTTGACTGAAGCTTCATTTACATATTTCTTCATCTGTCAAATTACGCTGTATATAACACGTTCAATCTAAAATAATAACATCGTTCAATATTAAATATGACGTGATTCAAAACGGCAAGAAATGTGTGAGAAAAGCTTCAGCCAAAATAACACACTTGAATTTGCGGTGTTCTCTTTATAGGGGGAAGACCCCGAGTATACATCTTCCAATTCCGTCTTGTATTAAAATTTAAAAGGGAAACTGATACACCGGGTCCTTTAAATGTCGCGGATGCTATCGCGTTCGATTTTTCACCCGCTGCCGGATACACCAGTTGCATTTCCGCGCATAATTCACGAGCGAAGATTATTCCCGTCTGATCACGCGGCCACGTAAACAAGATATCGGAATATCTTTCAGACGGCATCGGTGCGAGCGTGTCGGCGTCGATGAGGCTGACAGAAGACACCGCGGCGATATAATGGCATCCAGGAGGCCGACCAAGTACGACGACTCGTAAAAATCGACGACGACGACGATGGAATTGCGCAAGGGCTCCTGGAAGATCGTGATCCTCGTGTGCGCGTTGGTCATCTACCTGTGGATGCTCTTCGTCGATCACTCGCACATGCTGGCCGACATATCGCAGAGGATCACGCTGCAGAAAGCGCGGATCTCCCCGAGGAACGTCTTGTACCAGAGTCCCGAACGATCGAGGATCGAGCAGGCATCACTTCCGGACGGCTGGACGGACCTGAAAAGACCGCAGCCTCTCTCGTCCCGAAACGCCAGCGGTACGCCCGAAAGAGGTGTATCGGGATATCAGACGCTTAAGCAACAGGGTCTGGTACCAAGCCGGCAATTACCGACCGCCCTGATAATCGGCGTGAAGAAAGGCGGGACGAGGGCCCTTTTGGAGTTCCTGCGATTGCACCCCGCGATTCGCGCCGCCGGCTCCGAGGTTCATTTCTTCGATCATCATTACGTTAAAGGATTCCGTTGGTACAGGTGCGTGCGACCAAATCGTTTCAACGATCGAAGCGCAACACGACATTGATCCCATTTAAAGCTTTTAAGACCTCGACATTACGAAGTTCTGAGATATAAGTTTGAGCTTGCTCCTCCGCTAATACTACTTCTACATATAAGTGTATAAAGTAATAACTTCTTCAAGTGAAGATAGCTTTTGTAAATATAAACGTATAAACCCATCTACAAATATCTCATTTATTTTATAGTAATTTATTATAAATAATTAGTTATAAGTGATTAACCCGGGAACGGGCGCCTGAGGTGATTTTTACAGCCCAGTATCGGAAAAATAAAGTTTTAAATATATTTTTTTAAATCTCTCTTTACTTTTTCCAGAAAATGTTGAGCGAATCTGTACATAATTGTCCTCAAATACTAATTATTCACAGAACAATGAAAAATATGCAATGTGTAATTAATAACAATGACTTTTAATTGAGGTGTAAAAAGTTAAGTGACCATTTATGCAAAAGAAAATTTGGAGCCCGTTCCCGGGTTAATTATAATTATTTTATTTAATTTTTTAATAACGCTGGTATACAATAAAACACGTTGGTGTGTAATTAGGCGCAGGATGCCGCCGACTCTGGTCGGTCAGATCACCATGGAGAAGACGCCGTCGTACTTCGTGACGAGCGAGGTGCCGAAGAGGGTGAAGCACATGAACCCGGGGATGAAGCTGATCGTCGTGGTGAGGGACCCGGTGACTCGGGCGATCTCCGATTACACGCAGGTGAAGAGCAAGCGTCGGAAAATGCCGCGCTTCGAGGATCTGGCCTTCCTGAACGGTTCGAGGATCGTGGACACCTCCTGGATGCCGCTGAAGATCGGGGTCTACGTGCGGCATCTGGAGCGGTGGCTGCAATACTTCCCGCTTACGCAGTTCTTATTCGTGTCCGGCGAACGTCTGATCGCCGACCCGGTGATGGAGATCACCCGGGTGCAGGATTTCCTGGGCCTGAAGCGGGTGATATGCGAGAAACACTTCTACTTCAACGCCACTAAGGGCTTTCCCTGCTTGCTCAAGTCGGAGGACCGCGCGACGCCGCACTGTCTCGGTAGGGATAGTCGAGGGAGATGCGCGGATAAATGAACTTCTAGCACGCAATTATTTGTCATTAAAAATCCATTTTTGGAGAAATAAGTAGAATGCGTTTCATAGATTTTAGAGCGCTGTCTTCCTCTGATTTTAAATGGTACAATACTTCTTCAGCAAAAACGATGAAGCTCTCAGTGATCGGTCTTTCCGATTAATCTTTTACAGTAAAATTCCTCAAACTTTTTATGGAATGTATGTATTATTTGATCTCTACTTGTTTGCGCAGAATATTAAAGAATCATATAACTTTATAAATTAATTATTTATAAATTTAATATTAATTGATTGCGTTATTTTTTCAGGAAAAAACAAGGGTCGCAGTCATCCCTACATCGATCCTATGGCGATTCAGCGTCTTCGAGATTTCTATCGGCCGTTCAATCAGCGATTTTATCAATTGGCGGGTATGGATTTCGGCTGGTACTAAAATCCACGCGTGTCGCATACATACATATCGTAAGCAGGAAAACGGAACGGAGTCAATTCTCGTTGTGTATCAAGTACTTATTGGTACTTGTCAAATACGATATCTACTACGCCTGAATATCTGTAACCTGATAGGAACATATATATTACAGTCATATCATCAGAGCGCGCCGCGTTTAGTCCATATAGCGTTCGAACGAAACTTTTCCGAAATCTTGCTTCCGATGATGTAGTCTTTAATTTCATCAAGTTTTAATCTTCTCAAATTGCATTGAATTGCAAGAAAATACATATCTTTTTGTTGTATTGATTTAATACAGCGTTATTATAAAATAATTTAAGAACTCCGTATATATAATAGAAGTCATTGTGTTCCGTTTGTTATTTATATCGTAGTTAGATTATTTAATTTTGTAGTTTAGTAAATACTAGATTTGCCACCGTAAAACGAAAAAAAGAAACGATATCTCTAAAAGTTAGGAGCGTACAGTTGCCGTCCGGGAAGTCTTTACGAAAAGAAACCGTGACATATCTATAATTATCCTATAAATTATTATAATAAAGCCACAATAATGAAATTATATCTGAGAATATTGAAGATATACTTCTATACGCAATGAAAAGAATATAAAATCTGTATGAAATATATTATATATAATATATATTAATAATGCGTGCGAAAATAAACGGGAGTTACAGTTTCTTCAGTGCAACATGAAATTAGTTATTTCTACTAAATAAAATTAATTTAATTTAATACACCGTAATTAGTTGAACCGAATCTCACAATACTAGGATATATTTATCGGTTATTTACTTTTAGATTTTTAATTCTGTAGAAAAATCACAATAGTGCAATGTTAATAATGTATCTCTTTGTAATTTAATGAATTCATGTGAAATGTAACAGCGAACACGATTATTATAACAATTATGCAACGAAAGGGCGAGGTAATTAAAAATTTTTTATCAAGCAAAAATTTATTCGCGCTGACTATATTATAAAAATTGTCTCAAAAACTTTTGAAACAGCTCTTTTAACTATATTATCCAAGTTTTAAACAATTCACGTGTAATTAAAACGAACTTTTTCATTTTGCAATACAAATAATATCATCTACCTAATATCATATGCATTATATCGCACAAAAAGGAATAATTTATATATAATAATAATATATAATATTTCATTATAACTGTAAATTATATTTTAAAAATTGATATTCTATATTTAATTCGCATATATACATAGTTTTTTAAATTTGTTATATTCGTCTCTTCGCCCTCGTTAATTAACAATCCAATTGTGCATTTGTCTTTAATATAATGTATAGTATGACAATGACGAATAAGCATAAAAATAATATTAAAATTCGCTAGTTCCTAAGTATTATAAAATCTAGTCAATGCAATTAGAAAAGGTACGCGCATTTATGGAGTAGCTGAATATAGGAGACCTCTGACATAATTAAGTTACGAGTCAGAGATTTAATTATGCAGAGTAAAATACGAAGACAAAAATAAGGACATTTTTTTCTTTAATAATTACATATCGAAATCAGTTTTCTCAACGGAACATGAATTTATTTTTAGCCCGGTAAATAGTTAAATATCATCAATTCTATATATATCGTTCCACGATATATTTCTGTATAAGTCAGCGCTTATAAGATAAATTTAATAAGATCAGTAAATCATGAAACATCCAAAAATAAAGAAGTTAATTTGGACGAAAGGTGAAGATATCGAATTAGTCTGTAAGTTCAGGCAATTAGTGCGTACGTTAATACATTTTGTATGTAAGAAAGAATAATAATTAATGTATTTATTCAGCGACGATTGGAGGGATGTATTTATCTAGTACGTAAGAATGAAAGTAGATGTTTAGCGATACGATCGTGCGAATGACGAATGATGTAATAGTGAAGCACAGTGCTTTTGCTCAAATTGTACCACAGGAGGCTGTCAATACTAATATAAGTATTTCGTACATTGTTTTGAATATGTTTTGAATACAGTCTGTTTGACAAATAGAAACAAAATATGTATATAAATGTTATGCAAGATGTCCAAAAGTAACCGCGATTCATCCAATGATAGATGCTATATAAATAGATTCGGCTGTCTTTTTGTAGCTGTCGATTATAAATAGCACGCTATGTAGAAACCGCTTGATCCCCAAATCCTCGATCCCATTTCTTTGGTGTTACTTCATCTTTATGTCACTGAAGATATTCGATACTAAATTTGCTTTAGAAATCATGGGCATAACTCGTATTGTTCTTTAGAGGAATTTATTAATAGAATATAATTTGTAGCAAAAAATATCTATGCACAATATAAAGTATAATGCAGATGGAGAACCTGTGTGGCAATGTGGTTGTACATGAATTAATATCTCTTCGGCATATAAATTCCCATATATTTTTCTACTATTACAAAATAGAAGTTCAAAATTAAATGAAAATAAAAGTATATAATAACGGCGCTGTCTTTTTCAGATCACAAGATGAATTAGATCGACTGCAAAGGAACATTCATCGCCGCAAAGTTTACTACATTAAATCAATATTATATATCAGCACTTTAGATCCTTGATGATTGCATTATAAGGGCGACGTAGTAAATCGAAAACTGTGCATTATAACTATTACTGTCATAAACTATTACTGTCATAATCAACGTTACAGTAAGTATGTTCAATTGTTCTTACGCGTTGCACATTAGAGGAAATAATAGGCCTGTTCGTTTTCGCTGCACTTCTGAACTAGTGTAATAAGTTAGAATGAAACAAATATATGTTCTTTCATTCCAACTTATCGCACTAGTTCAGAAGTGCGCAACGAAAACGAACAAACCTATTATTTCAGATGTGATATCGATACTTTCCAGCGGAATATTGTTTCTTTGCAAGATCCTCGATCCGAATCTTTAAATTTCTATAATATTAAACCCATCTTTAGTATTTATACATTGTACGCATTCTAAACGCTTCAGAGATTCTTTCTGGATATCTATCGAGTATTCGCAGATCGTTCATCTTCACTCAGACTTCTCCCAATTATAAGAACATTTGTTAAACAGTCTATTTCTTAATCTGCTTAGGCTAAAGGAACGGAAGAATAGGCTATAATTCTTCACTCATTAATTTCCTGTATTCTTGTTGGTCTTGGACCATTTTCTTGAATACGCGATACTTCCGAAAGTGATATCTGAAATAATTAAAAGCAGATACATATGAAAAATTAGATTATACGATAAATCACAAATAATAATATAAAAATATCTTTTTTTTTAGTAATCTTAATTATCCGAACTTTAAGTAGAAATGCAATACTGTTTTGGACTGTTCTCGTATTTTTTGCACTTATAAATTTTATATTTACTTGTAACACTCGCTCGTCGGTTTCACTATGTTCGCCGATCCCGCCATTCTCTGGACAGTCTCGTGCATGGAATATTTTTTCGTGGCACATGCACCGAGGATCGCCGCGCCTACCAAAACCGATTCTCGCTCCACGGGGCAGAGAACCGGTAACGCTAACACGTCGGCTTGTATTTGGATAAATAGTGGATTCTGACTGAGTCCACCGCAAACCAATATACTTTCTATATTATGACCGGCCGCCGATAGGACTTCGATTATATGCTTTGTACCGTACTGAAAAATACAATGTTATAATGTTAATCAAAAAATGAATTACATTACATTACTAATTATCGTATCTCCTAATGCATTAACAACCAACGTCTTACAGAGTTAAAATCTTATCGCGAATAAGATGATTTTATATATATATATATATATATATATATAGTAATGAAAAAATCATTTTAATATCTAATTTTTAAATCTATTAATCTTTCAAAAAAATATTCGTTCGTTTCCACATAAAATAACAAAGATAATTAATTTAAATAATTTTTTTTATATTGATGAGTTTTTTAATGAATGATTACTTTTAATTCACATGACGTACCGTTAGTGCCTGCACCGCTGCTAAGTATAATAACGCTAGATTCTCCTCATCCACAGATAAGGATAATCCGGATATCTAAGATAGATAATAGTATAAAATTATATCCGTATTAAAGACATATGCAAGACTCAATAAAATACGTATGTGTCTCAATACCATTCCTTTTAGCGTTGGATCGGCAAGAGGCGAACGATTACCGTGGAAATCCGGCCACACGTGTATATCCTTCGTCAGATACGACACATTCTGCAGATTTTTCTGCTCAGCCATAACGTGCAACAATTCGGACAAGTATTGCTGAATGTGTCTGGAACAAATGACTTTCGTATACATAACGTTTCACAGTCTCGTTTCGATAAACTCACTTATTGCCGCCCAAAGTCTTCAGGATTCCCGGCGTCGCGGGGTGCGTGTCGATAACGTGATCGAGTAATTTTCCAGTGGCACTTTGACCTCCCTCGTTGAGCCAGAAACCGGGCACCATCGCGCTGTAGTACGGGCCCCAAACGCCATTTACGAATATCTTGTTTTCGTTCACTATCATGTGACAAGTCGAAGTGCCGCAAATCAAAGCTAGACATTACAAGACAATTTATGCTGATTCTTTTTCTTTGTAGCTTTGGAGCAACGCATATCGTCAATAGTATCTTGCGCACCCAATCGGTTGGAGAAATTCGGGGACACATCCGACGCGTAACATCCGATCATCCCGAGACCACCGGCATGCGCGTCGATCAGCGAGGTCCCAACCGGTGTATCTTTCAATAATCCCAATTCTGCCGCGGCTTTCGCCGACAGTCCGGATTCAATCGCGTCACCAGGTACCCTTACATCGTTACCTTGACATTAACATTAGCTTTTATTAAAATAAAATAAGAATTCAGTCATATACAGTTCTTATATAACACGTTCAAATTATACTAATGTTTCGTAATATCAAAGATAACTGAATACTTTACAATTTGAATTACTCATACATATTGTTGGAGTTGAAATTCTTTATCATTAATGAGAATTATTTTTCATCATTATTAAAAAACATTTTTCTTTGTAAGAACTCGATTTTTAATAAATTCAATATGACAACATACCTATTTTTCTCCAATTATCTTTCTTCAGGTCCCGTAAATTGAGCTGTTCAAAGAAATCTTCATCCCATCCGTTTCTACCATTGGGATTGGCACTATAGTTCCACTTACATACTAACGAACACAACGATCTGAAACAAGAATTAAGAATTCGAACTTCTCTCCCGTCTTGTTTCTCATTTATTAAAGAACTTGAGCATCAAGGATTCATACCGCGATTCCGATTCAGTAGCTTTCCACGTTAAAAAGTCTGGTAGGTCAAACAGGAGCGCCGCCGAGTTCCAAGAAACGGGTAAATTCTTTTTTAGCCACAGCATCTTCGGCGTTTGCATCTCGAGGGAAACTTTGCCGCCTACATATTGCAGTATATCGTGAACCATAGAGTTGATAAGGTCAGCTTCCTCGTGCGCTCTGTGATCCATCCACAGTATGACATTTTGTTTCTCCTGTCCTGAACAATTAGCGCCTCAATTTTCCACATCACAGCAATTACTACCGTTACATGAATTCGACACGAAAGTCGAAACAAGAAATATTCGCCAGTTCTTTTCTTTGTACCTGTAGGACTAACTGTTACCGGTGAACCCGCTTCATCCACAGCCACCAATGAACAAGTAGCGTCGAATCCAATTCCTTTAACATCCTCTGCGGAGATGTCGGCCACAACCGACTGCGAACAGGACAAAAATCAGATCTCAAAGCCGGATTTGTCGGACTATCGCGATATCGTGCTGCGAGGAAAATCTCACATATTCACCTTGACAACGTGGCACACGGCGCTCCAAATGTTATCGGACGATTGCTCGTAGAAGTTCGGCGCGGGATGAAATATCTCGAGCGGGCACGTAGCCACCCTCTTTATTTTCCCGCTCGAGGTAACCAGAGCCGCTCGGACGCTTCCCGTTCCCACATCCACGCCGACGAAGAAGTCCATGTCCGTCGCAGCTGTGTGGCCAGATCGCGTCCGCAATCTCGCGTCGAGCAAAGTCATCTAAGCGCTCCGCGTCGAGCTTAGGCATGAGGCTGCAAGGAGGAAGCAACCGTCAGCCAACCATACAGCGCGCGTTAATCATTGACACATATTCTAAGATGACATGACCCTGAGATAACATTAATTGCGAAGGAGATACGCGCGAAGTGAATAAAGACTTCAAACAGTGTAGCAACGTTATCGGCCTAATACTTCTTTAATCCAGCATCACACATGCGGATAATGCGCCACGTTGGTGAACACGACGAGTCGAATGTGATTTACTTGCTTCTCGCGGATCGTCGTCGCATCATCAGCGGCCACGAGTAGAGCTTTAAATAGCAATTAGCGTGATGTACACGTGCGACATATGGTGTGCTCCGGTACCTTAAACAACGAAATTGTCTCAGGAAATTGTCTCAGAATCGCCAGGCAAAATTATCTCATTCTCTGCGACGTCACAATCGTCGCTTAAAGTACAGAGACGTGGAGGAACATCCGTGTATCTCTCTAGGCGAATTATCTCCGCGCGCTTACCACCGCCACGTCCGCTCCGTTATACTTACATATTCAATTGGGAAACTCTTTTTTGCATACTCCTGGTGAAAGTCATCCGAAATGACGCCGCGACGACGACGGCAACGTGGACATCGCGACGTCACTCGCGCTTCTTGGCGAGGAAGCACGCGGGATCGGTGCGTGACGGGCGTGAAGAACGTTCCGCACGGTCGTCGCGCAAAAACCGCTGCATGTTCCTGGCGCGTAAGACACGCGTGGCTCACGCACGTGCACCGTACCAAGCCGTGCGCTTGATACCGACGCGACCCAGCCGTACCCGACTCCGACGCACGTGCACCACGTGTAGCCGAGAGCGCGAATCTGCATCATCCGCTTCTTGCTCATTTCCATTCCCGTGGGAGGAACGTTCATACGTCGTCGTTCTCGACCTTCCCCGCAGCACGCCGAGCATTCGGAACCTTGGTGAACGTCATAATTACGGGCAGGAATCGCGTTCGCCGCCGAGTTAACCTGAAACATGGTGCGCTTCAAAAACAGGTGACAGGATAAAATTGCGAAGTTTTCAATTTTTCATGAGGAATCACTGTGATGACATTTCTTCATCGCCTGTTACTTACTGTCTTTAGATACATCGTTTTCACAATAAAGCCGTACGACGACAAGGACAAGCAGGCGACGTGGAAGAATACACACGTGTCTAATGCGATTAAACGGAAGGTGCAACAATTGTACGGCGACGTGGGGGTAGCAGCGATAAAGGATGGCTTTGATGGTAATTTGGCGTTGGACGTTATGACAGTTCTTTAGATAAACGTACTTGCTTTCCTACAATTATAAATAGAACACAAATGTCATCTTTGGTCAGTCTAGATCTTAATCTAAGTAATAATATTTCTCTGTGCAATATTTTATATTTTTCCCAACTTAGCAAACTATTATTTGTTAGTCTTGAAATTTTGTTTTGTTGGAAAAGGAAATTTATATTTAATAGACATCCCTTTTAAATCGACATAAAGAATTTACTTGGTCTTTATTTATATTTATAAAATAAAACATGATGAAACATTTTCCTTCTTTTGTATAACAAATTTTTAGTTTGTATATATAGAAAAAACCTATATAAACTGTTATATATTTTTTCTTTATATGTTCAACAGTTATATAGACATGAATGTGTAATTATATTAATTTCATGGATTTGAATCTGTTCTTAGCGTAACTTTTTTGGTCTAAAATGTCTAAATATACAATCTTGTCTTTTATCCCAGCGAAATACTGCAACGTACAAACGAAAATAGCGATAGTCAGGCTCAGGCATGGGCCTCACAAATTCGCATTGCACGCTATCCCGCTAATAAGCAATGTAGGGGAGCGACTAGTCAAAACGAAGATCCTCTACGTCGGAGCGACTCTGAAACACTGTTTTCTCTTCATCAGAGTAAGCATGCGACATTCGCCTATCTTGCTTGCGTCAACGAAGTCCAGTTAACAAAGAAAATATATTACTTCGCTTTCTCTCCTTCTCTTTAGAAACATCAGGAGAGGAAGCTGGAACGATTGTGGTCCAAATTGCCAACGGAAACCGACAGAAAACGGATGGAGGACCTCCTGATGACCTTGACGCCCGCTATGAAAGACCTTGCGTAAAAAAAATCATCGTTACAGATTAATACAGATAGTAATTAATTTACCGTTCACGTTTTAAGTTAATATTAAGTACAAATAAAAGCGGAGTTTCTCAATAACTTACGAAAACACGTTAATCTCGTCTCGTGATACGGTTTCACGACATTTCTCGCATATCCTGGGGACGCAACGAGATAAGCGACTTCAAATAAACTCGCCCCTTTTTCATATTTCTGTTCTTTTTTTCATTTAATGTTGACTCCAAGTTTATCTTGGGGATTCTTTTCGAGATTGATCATACGATGCCGTTATCTGCAGAGGATATTTTTGACGACCGAGCCGCAAGGATCGTTGCCGCTCCTCGCCAGTTGTCGCTGTTCGCTGCGGGGAAAAAAAAGGTTGCCTCCCTTCTCGCCCGCCATCGCGCCGGCGGTGTATCCCGATCCCGCCGTCACGTTATCCTGCTTCCGCCGTCTGCGCCGTGCATTCGTTCGGATCAGTTCGGACCGTTTCGGACTCCAAGGCTGCTGGCTGCTCCGCGATCCCCCGTCGCGAACCCTAGGAGACCTGCCGACTGCGCGCCTCTGCGACTCGCAATCGACGAGGCGAGCGAACTGTGCGAGGCGTGTGCGTTTAAAAAAAGAGACGGAGAACTGCGGATGTTGACGCGCGGCACCGCTCTCGCCCCCCGCGATTGCTCCGTTTACGCCGGACGGTTTTAACGAGCGGGCAGGATACAACGTGAGGACACCTTCCCCGCCCGGTATCGACCGCGTCTTCCGGGATCTCGATATCGTTGGGTCGTCCGACCGCGCGGCTCCGTAATCGGGGATAATCGTCACACCGGCGAGCTCGAGGTAAGCGATCAGTTTCCTTTATCGATCACGGTTGTTTAGACCACCGCACGCACACCTGGCCCTCGGCGATATCGGATCCACCCTCCCGAGTCCCGCCGAGGCTGCGATCTCGCTGATGGTGATGGTTTCATAAATTCGTCGCAGGCGGAATCCCGAGCGTCGACGACGGCGATAACGGGAAAATTTCCTCGCGAAACGTCGACGTCTGGCCTGGAGTTATAAGTAGACGTATTATACGCCGAATGTGGAAAAATGTGGAACTTGATACTCCGTTGTATTTACATCATCCTTGACATTCGCCTCTTAGCGTTCATCGCCGAGCTAATTTTACTTTTACCGATTTTCCGTTCACGCCGGATTGATTTTATATTTTTATATTAAGAAGAAGAAGAATAAGATACTTAATTTACAGCTATAGCACTGAGTTGCACAGAGGTATGATGTGTGATAATTATTTGACAGTCACTGATGACCGAAACATAAACAAAAGGACTCGGTGTTATGGCGGTAAATGTGTTAGGGCCGGTTGTTCCAACCTGTTGGTAATCTAACTAATAGTTAAATCATATGTCTATCTTTGTTTAATGTAAAGGATAAACAAAGACATATATATGATTTAACTGTTAGTTTACCAAAAGGTTGGAACAACTGACCCTTAACTAGGTAGACATTGCATACGTTGGAATGTCTGTCTAAAAAAAGATGATCTCTGATATTCAGATCTTAACTATGGATATTACGCCGTTGAGTCCTGAGGACTTCTGTTTTTAGATATACAAGAAAAGGAAAATGAAAAGAACTTTTCTTCGCTCTGGTATGCGCCGCTGCATTTTCTTGTATCTTTAATCGTGCAGGATCAAGTTTCATTCGTTTTTCTCGAGGAGAAAACAATTAATCAGTATCACAAAATAAGTGGCGAGAGATATCTAAAAAAATAATCCTTGATATTGGACTCTTACTGTCGAGAGGACTGCTACTTTTAAATATGAAAAAAAGAGAGACATAAATAGCCGTTCTCCACTTTGTACTTGTCGCTATATATTTCCATCACTTTTCAGCGTTAACTGTGCAAAGATAAAGTTTTGTTTGTTTTTCTAGAAAAGAAAATAATAATCAAAATTACAAAATACGTAACGGGAGTTCTGGAGACTCCGTATCCGATATGATGATTCAAGCTGTTGTGTTTATGTCGCGAAGACAGACGTCGATGCTTGAGGGTTGAAGACGGTTGAAGATCTTCCTTCCTCGAGGGATAAACGTTCAGAGAAAGGATAATGATGGATGAGGTAATTGTCGACGCGCATGGCAATGCCTTCCCCGTAAGTCTGAGGAAAGTTTTTTGTAAACCGCAGGATTTTGGTCTCGACTTTCTCTTTTCTTAATTCTCGGTATGTGGCCGAGCGAATTGCTTACAGATGTCTACTTACAGATGCGCCTCCCGCTCTTTCCTTTTTTTTCGTCTCGGGAAATGAGAGCTTTTTCTTCAAAAAGGGGAAGACCCGTGTTTTTCGACTTCGAGCCGCAGAAGGTGTAGTTCAAAACGGATGTGTTTATACTTATGTCACGCCATCGCGACTCTGTTTACATTACAATAAAACGAATCGTTAAGTCGCGCGGCATCCGCGTCGCGTAGAGACGTGGAAAAACGCGCGTTTATCCGCGCCAAACAAGACTGACGGGATAAATTAAGGATAACGACTTAGATACGACCAAATCGTATGTGAATTCGCAAATACAACGAACAGATGGTCAAGCGGAAATTATCATTGCGACGTAAGAATGTTCTTAGAATAAGAAAACGTGTATTTTTCGCCGATAATTATTTTCCTCTCTTATTTTTTTCTTCTAAACCTCTTCGACCGACAAAGCGGTTGCGTGCCCGTTGTTTCATCATTTCTCACTTCTGATTTACGTAAAAATTTCAGGAGTGAAAGTGGATCGAGCCTATACAAATCCAATTCGCAAGATGGAATTTGAAAACAATGTCTAGAACGGGCTTCACAAATTATGGATACTCGATTCGTTCCTCTCGCCGTGCAGCTTGTGGTCATTAACTCAGTTTATCCCAATCAACGCGGTCGAACATCTTCAGATGGTTACTCTCGACCGGCTCGAAGGAAAATATTGAAAGTTTGCCCCGCCGTTTTTAATCCCACCCCTCTCTCGCCACGTTACGGGGAATTAATCGTCGAACAATGGCGCTCGATTATCTCGTTATCTTCCAAACGCATCGCTTCTGCGAGAATGCACTCTTTAGCTAGAAAGCTACCAGCTTATTTATCACTCTGACGTAGAAGTCGTTCGCAAAAGCGATCGCGAGTTGCAAATGGGAGGAAAGAACCAACAATAGGTACGTGGCCAGAGGCTCCCCTGGCCGTGAATCTCGTCTCGACGCGACGAGAGAGCCGCTAGTTCTCGCGTTGCAGTAATCGTAGTAAAAGAAAAAGGAGAGAAAAAACGCGTCCAGACACGTAGGCTGAAATTGTATCTTACTTTCGCGACCGTGCGAAGGAAACTCCGCGGCGGCGAGTAAGCCTCGGAGGAAAGCGCGCGTGGATGAGACTTTGCGTTTTATGGCTGTTACGGCGATGTGATCGCGGGCTTCCGCTCGCCTATTAATTCGCTAATTAGCGCAGGTCCGTACGCGGTGTCGAAGATGTTCTGCGCGATAATTAGCTCGGTCAATTAACGCGTGGCCTTAAACTTTCACGTAGTCCTGCCGCCGCGCCGGTACGGCCTCCACGACACGTATACGGTAATTTAATGTAATTTAGCGTGTTTACATCTTTTCCTTTTACTACAACGATTATATATAACTGGAACTCGCGCGAGGAACCTCGATATTTTCTCTTTTTTTTTTTCTATTCTAAATCCTTCGTTACGATGGACAACTTTCTTCGTTTAGTATAATGAAAATTTTCACTGTCACGATTTTTTTTAATTTAAATCTATCGCGGAGGAATTAAAGTAGGGCGGTTTTAACCGCAGGAAAGATCATGTTTATTAAAATCTATTTTAATTACTGTGCCAGAGCGAGAAAAGAGCGAGTTTATCACACGGACGTTTGACATACTAATGTTCGAAGAGGCGAGTCGCGGGCATGCAGCGAATGCAAATGCGCTCTGGATAAGACTCGGTTCGCATAGGCGAGCCTCGTGGAATGATTTTAGCGAACACGGACGATAAATATATCCACATGGCATGGACCCCGAGGAAGAGAGAAAGAGAAAGAGAGGGAGCAGGGACTTCGGATCTCGCGGCTCCGAATCGAGTCTCCTCGAGGAGAGAAAGAGGGAACGGAATGTTTCTCACTTCTCTTTGCTTTCACGAGCGATGTTTTGACGATTTCTTTGACATGCTACGCGCAACAACAGCAACATTGCACACGTCGATTACCGAGAACATCGCCTCGCATCAGCATCGTTTCCTGGCATTCTACAACATATCGAATTAATTTTCCCTACTTTTATTACCCGCCGACGAAAAACGTAGCTTTCTGTGCATAATTAAGACAGAAAATTGAAATATTTATATTCGAAAGAATGTTAGTCCAAAAAATAGTATATTAACAATATATATTATTGAAAATAGTATTTTATTCGGAGAAACCCGCGAGAGAGTCGAGAAATGTGAACGAGTACTTTATAGGGATAGATATACGGAAATGGCATTGTAAATATCTCAGGAAAGAAGTTCTGGTAAATCACGGGACTAATGTCTTTCCGTACCGCGATATTCGGGAATGCTGAGGATTACTGTCGTTCATAAATAGAATTATCTTCCTCGCAGTCGCCCCCATGTGTGACCGCCGTCCATTTACTGAAATATCTCGGTAACTGCTGAATCCAGTGCGCCCAGTCGCTATACAGTTTACATTGAGAGTGCCGAACAAAGTAACAATCTCTTGATTCCCAGGATTTCACACGAAAGCAACGATGAAACGACTACGTTTAGAAATTTACCTCGACGGAAAATTGGTCTGTTTCGCGTCTTTTGGATTTTTTTTTTAAACTGGAATTAAATTTGAATTGATCAGTTTAAATATAAATGTTGTCATATTTCTATTGGGGATAGACGATGCGATTGGGGAGAACATTCGTTCGCGACCGATCTGAATGCGTTATTTTACACATTTGTATATCTTCGGACAGAAATTTTCCAGCTACGCGCTTCATATGGTTGCCAGGAATAGTTTACGACCGATATCCTATCTATCGATCACACTGCGCTCTTAAGATATGCCGTTGCTAGCTTTATTCGTGTCTAAATATAAATGACTCTCCGTTTAGTCTGTCATCGCTATTTCCTACATTTATTTTGTATATAAAACGCTAAGACGCGTCAATGTCTGGGTGAGCCGATTTATTACGATTCTTGTTCGTTGTTTGAATCAAATCTCTGAGATCGTTTCGGTCTGATACACTGAGAATACAAGGCGGCAGACGGCCTTAACTTAGCACACAAACGACTTCATGCTGATAATTATTATTTAATTACTATTAATATATTAATAATTATTATTAAAATTATTAATAGACACAAATTATTCGGAATGTCGATAATTGGTGTCGATCTGAAAGTTTCATCGGGTTTTGAAATCAGGAAAATAATAACTGATAACAGTTTAACGGTTTAATAATAAATTATATTTAATAATACTTTTATAATTTAATACATGTAATAATTTTATAGAAATTATAATAAATTTAAAGTTTAAGTAAGTTCAAAAATTAAAATGTATATAATTAATAGAAAAAGTGGAAACGAAAAGACGAAAAGAGGTATTTGCGCAATAATTAATATGCATGAACAATATACATATTAGTCAGTACATAGTTAGCGTTAAATATAGTCGTTTAAAAGTCCTATTTTTCATCTTTACGTCGAATGTAGCTCATACTAATAGTCTGAAAGTCTTGGAGAGACAATAGCATGGAAAATAATTATGATGAGCGTAATTCTATAGAATAATGACATGGGAATTTTATAGCGTCATGTACACAGAGATATTTTTCTAAAATAATAAAGTAAATAATATTACAAAGGCAGGAAACATAATACTTGTAAAATTAATAAAATCCAAGTAACTATTGGTTTGTACTTTCGAGCTACAACTAGTGTCAACTTTGTTGCGGTATAGGCTTCCTAAAATTTTTCGTAAAATGAAAATATTTTCTAGCAGTTTGTACAATTGAAAAAAGAAGAACTTTCGGTGAAGTTACGTTCAGCCAGCTGCTGATCGCTCTTGATCGTTTATTTTTCTAGGAACAGACCTTTCTACATAGCACCACCCAAAAAACTCCGGTTACGTCACTTGAGCTCGACATTCGTGGCCGAAGTTTTCGACACACTTGTCGTCACAGAACAACCGCGGGAATTAACGATCAACCTAGACTCGCCGAACCGTTTCGTTACGCATAGACCGTCGCTTTGGATCTTCGTGATGATCTTCGTAACGGTTGGATGCCGCAAGGATTTCCGCGTTTCCTCGTTGTGCTTCCCCTGGCAGTACTTCTCCTTCGTATCGTTCAAGATATTGTCCAGATCCTCTTCGTTCGACGTCCTGTGGTCATCTTCGCATTTCGGTATCTTATTAATAATCTCCTTACGTGGACACGTAAAGTTTTGCACGTAAGTTTCACTGTTTTTTTGTTCCTTCGATGACTTCTTCAGGTCAGTCTCGGGACTCGAGTCGAAGATCACCCTTCCGCCGTCTCCCACGAATTTCACTTTTCTTTTAGAGGAGTCCGGTCCGAGGAGGACCTGTCCGCCGTCGCCGGTGTACTCGATATCGCCCATGTTGCGGTTCACGCGCAGTCTGCAACCGTCACCGATGACGTGAACGCTGCCGGAATTCTTCGACAGGGCAATCCGGCAGCCGTCACCCGTGATCTCCAGCACATGCTGATTCGAGTGCATCTTAACGACGAGCCCGTCGCCGTGGAATCGCTTGATGTCGTCGTCGACGTCGGCCTCGTCGGGAGAATGCTTACAATGTCTCATGGAATTGCTCTTAATCTTCCGTTCCTTCGTCTTCAAGTCCGGTTGCTCGTCGATGTGGGAGATCGTCACTGACACTTGCGGATTGTCATCTCTCTTCGTTATTGATATTAGGGAACATTTCTTTCGACACATACTTGTTCCGTGGCAACTACAACAATTATCCAATCGTTGTTGTTCGTTGGATGATTTATTGTACAAGTAATGTATTAATTACTAATCAGGTACTGTGTTATCGAAGGGTTTCTTCTTCTTAATAAACCTCTTTTTACTTCTTTCTATCGCCACTAAAATATTAAGATATATTCTGTTTTTAGAGGTGAGTATACCAGAAAGAAAAAGTACGTTCGTGCAGAGATACGCGCGAGAGAGAGTTATTTACGTTACGGCGAGCGGCGTGACACGAGTCCGTTCCCTACGTTGCAGCCGCGTAATAACGAATGCGTTCGCTCGCTTTGCGTGGTGGTGGGCACGTGTGACGACGGGTTCTTCACCGCACAATCGACCCCGATTATCACTGCTTCTCGCGGGACTTCCCGCGAGACCGTTCGCAGCAGTGAACACTCCGTTCATTGATACCAGACTCGTAACTAGGAATTACAGCGCCTTTTACGATCTGTTACCGGTTACGTGTCATTTATCTGTCACAGATAATTAGAGTACGTTGAGATTAAACAAGTTTTCCTCTATATAATGTTATATATCTCAATATTTAATATATCTCGCAATTTATTTGAGTATTATTTCTATATGTACGAAAAGAGCTAGAATTTTTCACGAAGTTTTAAATTTTATCCTGTTTCGTGTTCAATTATATCTATTAAAAGTGAATTTAAAATTGATACTGGGGACATTGTTAAGTTAATTGTTAGCGGCCCGTAATTACGTATAATTAGCCACAATTATCTCGTGAATTCTTAGCATCATATATATTTCAAATTAAAATTCCATTAAGCTAAAGTATAGACACATAATATTTTCTGCCAATTTTCCTGTTTTTATTTATTCTCATATATCGATTTATGCTCCTTATATTGTATTTTTTATATTATATTATTTTATTTTACAATATATATCATCTTATATCAAGTATCTTCTCTTTTGTAAGATATGCATCATTTACTTTCTCATGCATCACCCTGAGAGGATTTATTCTAGAATATATATAATATATATTATTCTATTCTACTCCCGAAGTCTTACTAGAAACTTAACGTCTTAATCTTAATTTTAATTGCTCGAAATTTTCAGTGAGGAAAAATTGATTTCAAATCGGCAACAAAGTATTTGTGACAATTTGTTAATTAAAAAGACATCCTACATGGTTGAATGTGCATGCCGTTTCTTTTACACCGGAAATATGCAAAGAGATGCAAATATTGCAATGTGACGAAAAAAGATCTTTGGAATTAAAAAGGATCGTATTTGCCAAAGCCTAGTTACGACTCTGTTTGCCTTATCTTTTCTTCTCTCTCTCTCTCTCTCTCTCTAATTCGGCACGCCGTTCTCTCGCCGTCATTCATCACGGTCGAGCGAAGGCCAAAACGGTTTGCCGACTCGAAGCGTCTGAAAAGGGGCTTTACAACAGCTTAATATAATCGTAACGTCATCTTTAGGTTTTCAAAGTGTCAGGGATTAATCCTTGCAAATCCTGCTTAGCTTTTACAGTTTTCTTTATTGATATCTCGAAATATAGTACATATAAATTATATTTCTTTAAAATTTCTGTCTAATTACATGCAGAATGCCTCTCCATTGCATCTTTTAATGATAAAAATTGTTAGAGGATATAACATAGCTGTATTCCTTGGAAAAATATGAGCATTGAAACATTTTGTTAATATTTTTATTTTATCTGAGAGGCTGGTGTCCGTTGAAAATAAATATTTCCCCTGAAATATTGTAATACCTCGAAAGAAAGAAAGAGTGATACAAATATTTTCGGGACACTGCGGATGTATGTGTACTGCGGATTTCACTGTGCAATCGGAGGAGAAATGGCAAAATATGCATATAAGATTAAAACAGAAAGTGTTACTTGGAGCGAATATGGAATGCACCTTTCCCCGGCAAGAGTTTTAACAATGGTGTACCTTGTAACAATAATAGACCGAAAATTAATTATCTATTGATACTTATCTTATTGGACTGACCATTTTAAGGTATAAAGAGAATAAGAGATAACTTCTTCTACACTTTACTATATTTACCGGATTCCTAGATTTGTTTTATTACTATATGCTAGAAGATAAATAACTCTTCTTTCGTTTAGATCGAATCAAATCTTATATATATATTCTTTTCTTTAAAAAATTATAAAAATTCTTTGTTTCTTTTTCTGTTTTCGCACAATTTTGTAAATTCTAATTGTGTTAATGACTATTTGTCATTGATATCAACATGTATCTTATCTCGCGACGTCCCACTCAACATTCCTGGCACAGTCCGCTCTCACTGTCATTCGGTCACACGATTTCTCGTAAATCGCGATTCACGAGTGAATTGCACTACGTCGTTCGATAATCGGGGGAGTAATTTAGTGACTCATTGTATAGTAGTGCGACAAAATATCTGTGCGAACAATCTACGAGGTATCAGCTGTGCTCGTAGATATGCGCTTAGAGGGAATCACCTAATTCCTCCTCACGTTATCCGCTATTTCATATCTGTGCATAACACTGGTCTCTATCAGTCAGAGTACGTCAATCAAGAGACGAGAGATAAATTGATAACAGAGAGCTCAAATGGTTACCCTTAATTGATCTTTCGCGAAAAATAATAAATGGATTTTCCTGGTCCAGCGTGAATCATGCAAAATGCAAATTAGAACTTATTTGTTATAAATTATCTGCAAATTATCAATTTTATGCTTCTATACGAATGAATAAATCGTAAAACGTAAAGTAAAGTTTGCGAAGAGAATCCCTCTTTCTTTCTTTCTTTCTCTCTGTTAAAAATTAAATGATTAACAATATAATATGCTGTGTAAATTAATGAAGAATCAAATGTTTTACTTAGTTTTTATTATTCTCTACTAAATAGTTAATCATTGAGCTGTTCCCTAATCCGGCACGCGCGAATCGGAAAAATCGTGTCTAGACTATCAGAAATGATTTCCTTTGCATGAGTCGTGTGTACCATTCGACTAATTCAATATGACCGTGATTGGAATGCCATAACTTGATTTTGAAACGAAATAGCTTTATCGATTTGGCGCTGTGCGAGCTAATTGCTCCTGTCTGCATCCTCAGTCCGCTACTGTCCGTATTGGATGATTCTTTTAGCCTTGGATTCGAAAAATTCTTGTAACATGACCAATTCCGTGTTTAGCAATCAGCTATCTAATTTTAGAGGATTAGTATGTTTGTTACATCGTCTCATTGTATACAATCTTCAAAAAGCTTCATTTTGCATTGGTTTCTGCAAGCCCGTAATCAGAATGCTAGCCAAAAGACTGGCTATTCCTAATTAAATTAAATTTATGAGCCTCAAAAATATATCTACCTATAACTGTTATCCCAACGTTCAAACGTATTTATAGATATGTATGACTTTATATATAAATTAGAACGTATTAATATTATATTTAATTATTTTTGTACTCATGCGTTCTCCTCTGCGATATTTTTCAGTGGCATGATGATAAGAACGAAATGAGCGATTTGCTCGATACCGTAATAATGGAGACCTCGTACCCCGAGCCTGAAAATTGTCTGAAGGTATCCTCGCCGATGAACGTGGCGCGGCAGGACTCGGGCGTACCGGAGGATCTTGCTTCGCCTCTCAATGAAGAGGAGGATCCGGATCTCACTATGAACAGCGATTGCAATATCACCGTCATTCACATCACCGAGTCGCAGAACAGCAAGGCGAACGACAAGACGCTAGCTGAGAATAAGGACAGCAAGGACGGCAGCGATAGCGGCGTCGAGGGTTGCGCGACAGAAGTTCCAAGAGTGAGTTTCAGTATATAAAGTTTTATTCACCAGATAAGATTTTAATATTTTCTTAAGATAAAAACTCTTTTACATGATGCTTTCAATGTAAAACCAAGAATGTGCAGACACTAATGATAATAGATTTATAAATTATAGATACTTATTTAGATCACATATTCTTGCAGGTACGCAGTAGAAACAGCGTCGACTACACGAGCAGTTGTGGCGGCCTGGACGAGGCCTCTTGCGACTCCAGCCTCGTCAGTTGTTGCTCGGTGTACGAGGACGCGTGCGGATCCACGTTGCCAGACGATGTGCGACTGGGTGCTACCGGCGGTGAGGGCACGAGCGAGGGCGGTAGCGAGAGCTCGTCCATCGCCGGCAGCGTGTCCGTGCGAACGAGCCGTATGAACGTGAAGAGGACCACGACGACGTCCAGCGCGGCCAAGAAGAAGATCACGAGCGGTACCGAGTCGCAGAAGAGCGCTCGCGCGAAACCAACGAGCGCGACCTCGGGCACGAGCTTGGGCTCGACGACGCCGCGGTCTAAGTCGCGAACAGCAACGCCCAGAAATATAATGACCAAGATTCAAGGTGCGGGCAGGGAACGGGACCATCGACCACGATCGAGGGAAAAATTGAGCGCTCGAGAGCCGAGCTCCTCCCTCGTTGCAGACACCAAGACGCCTGCTGGTAGTCGTGGTACGGCGACGTATGGCTGTCGGTCCAGCAGCAGCGCAGTATCCAATTTATCAACTCCCACTGCGGCTTCGATCGCGAGGACGAGGACGAGAGTGCTGCCGGACTCATTGCCGTCTGCACTGACCACGGAGATCAACAAGGATCTTGCGCAGCGTGGCGGGAGAATTGTCAGGAACGATTCATCGAGATCGAGGACCGGGTCCAGCACGCGAGGGGCGCGCACGCCGGCGTCCACGCCGTCTGAGGAAACGAGAGCGAAGATACCGTCCTTGTCAGCTTCTCGCGTTCTCTGCGCGAAGAGTACTGTCTCACGTGCTGATAATAAATCCGTTGGCCAAGATAACAAGGCGCTTGATACGTATGCAACGTTGCCGCGTAGGAACAGAAATAAACTGACGATCTCGAAAGCCGGCGAGAAGACGGACAAGATGACCAGAAGTCGATCTGGAAGTCGAGACGTTAGCCTCAGCAGAACCATTGAGAAGAAGAGCGTTATTGGGAGGGATTCGTCTTCCGTTCACAAGAGTCTGCCGCCGTATCCCAGACAGAGAATTGAAAAAACTCGTATATATCACGAGACCAGCGCACAGACTGGCTTGACCGGGCAGGACATCGAGAACGCGATGTCCGGACAACCGAGCGCCATTGCTGGGCCCGAGGTCGTCGAGAGACTGCACAAGGGCTGCCAAACGGAAGACGCGTGGGACGACGTACAGACCTTGCAGGATAACTTGAGAAGCTTGAATGAGGAAAGCGGCAGTCTGCGGGAAGAGAACGAGAGATTGAAACTCGAGTTGGCCGAGGCGAATCGTCTTCTAGAGGAGGAACGGGCCGATCACGCGTTTGCGCGTAAGGAACTCGATAGAAACGCGCAACGGGTACTGGCTATGCTAGGAACGCCGCAATCAGAACATGCAGGTAATTCAATAGTAACAAATGTGATAATATAATGCAAAATTATTTTATATTACTTTTGTATCTGCGTAATTTGCAAAAGTAAAATTTGTAGAAAATAAAATGTTATCGATGAAATTTCCTTTCAGAGGGCAGCGACAGCTTCCTCGAGCTCGAAAGTCATATACAATCTTCGGGACAAGTTGTCGCTAATCAACAAGTTGAAATAGCTGATCTGCAATCGCTCTGTCGTATGTTAAGCAGGGTAAGAAAATCATATCTACCAGCAGTTTCTATTATAATACAAAAATTATTTCTGTAATTTTTCCTGTCAAGGAAATATCTTTTTATAATTTTATATTTTTGTTGAAGGATTTGGACAAAAGTGTAGCTGCGCAGAAAGCCTTGCTACAACAGCAACAAGAATTGGAAGCCGAATCAGCCGAGATGCAAGATTTTCTCCAAGAGGAGAAAGCCACATTGGCGGAGGCGCTCAAAGATGCCGAATTGGAGGTGCGTAGTTTTCTAAGTTCCCTTCTTGAAGTATGTACCGTTTGTTTCATATTCGGTTTGTCTTTTGTAGCTCAAGAAAAAAAGCGAAGCCTTAACTCAAAGAGAGACGGAATTAGAGAGACAAATGGAGGAGTGTAAACATTTAGTGCGAATTAGCGAACAAAGAAGGTATGCCTCACGAAAACTTTTGACAATATTTCTCCTAAACATTATAAATTATATTTCAACAATTGATTATCCGTTTTTAGGCAAGAGAATTTATCAATGAGTCTGAAGTTGAATGCCGTTGAACGAAGAAGTAGGGAACTTTTACTCACTCAAGGCGCTGCTATGTCCGGAGCGGCTGTAGCTCTTTCCGGACTTAGCACCAGATTAGAAGGATTGATAGATCAATTAATTGCTTCTTATAACATCTCAGTAAAAGATCTTGAAGTAAGTATAATGATGAAAGTTCTCTTTTGCGTACAAAGTGGTTTATATTCTTATAATAGCTATTTTGAACAGTTATAACATGCTACCTTTTATAAATAAATATAATAGACAAATAACGATCATAATAGATGGAGGATTAATATTCTATTTTTACTATTTTTCTCTGCTAACTTCCTTTCTAAATTTAATAATTAAAAATTTATATTGATTATTGTTAGACAGTTTAAATGCATTGTAATTCTTTCCCCAAAAAGGATGTTATATATCATAACGAAGCGTACAGTAGAAGCAACAGTAGCGTGGAGTCTAGTCCGGTTAGCTCTAAGCAGAGTTTAAAAGAACGCACGCCGAGCCCGAAGAGTGGATCCTTCGTTTCCGCGGTGATCAGCGCAATTCGGAACGCCGCGACGCATCCCTTCGCGGCTAGAAACATCGATAAAAAATCCAGCCTGGATTCGTCTAAACAGATTTACAAAGGTAATTGAATACGAATGAGATGCCACAATAAGGATGTTACATTCAGATCCATTAAAACTATAATTTTTATTTTCTAGAACTGAGTATGGAATCGTCGTCCGACTTGCTCGATTTTGAAACCGAGCCATGTTTGATGATGGAAAGCGTCCTGGAAGACGTGCCTTTGCCGGACACATACTCGCATAACATGATATCGAGCAGCGATTCTCTACGCAGAGCACTGAGTTTCTCCGAAACGTCGGACGAGCATAATCTAAGGAAGACGAAGTACGGCGACGAATGTACAAGTCTCACGAATCTCACCCAGGCGATCCTGCATCGTCGTAAGGCAAGTATCTGAGATAAATCAAACTCGTAACTTATTAGAAATATAAAATAATCCTAATAATTAATCGTATAAAAATTTGCAGGTGGAGGACGAGGGTGACGACGATTGCGATTCCGTGAGCGAATCTGACACCGGGACCAATGACGGTCCTGTACCTTTGACGGATTACTGTCCATCTGTGGATCTCGTCGATCAGGTGATCGAGGTGGACAATCTCGTTACTAAACTTCTCAAAGTGCTACGAATCATACAGCTTGACAACGATACGTGTATACAGGAATTGAAAGAAGAGAAGTGAGTTTAATAAATCTGATCGGATCGTAAGGATTTTAAACCTCCAATTTATTAATTCGGAATGTCATTTGCAGGTCTAACTTGGAGATAAAATTAGAAGCCACTGTAACGGAATTGAACGAGCTTCGCAAGATCATCGATAATCTTCATCAATCACCGGAAGAAGTCCTGAACAACGTGCCGGATCGACGACGTAGCGTTGTGGAGAATTGCCGGATTTTGCTTAAAGAGGTAATAGCCGGCGATGTCGCCGATACATTTTTATAGTGTGCTTCTTTCACGCTACTGCCATATCTCTGACATAAATTATTGACTTTCCTGAAAGAGATGTCAAATGGTATAATTCCTCTGTAGGCGGGTAAGGAGGAATTGAAATTTGAGGCCGTACTTGCTAGTAATAGCAGTCCCGGTGAGATAAACTGAGGATCTCGATGCGATCGAGGCGACTTCCGCTTAATATTTTAAAATATCTTATTAATTTCGTATATATATATTCTTCCTAATTATTATAAATTATTTTAATTCTTAAGAGAAATGTGTCAATTTTGAAAGTCTGAATTATTATATTGAACATCGACGAACATTTTATTGTAAAAGTGGGATTTCTAATTTCGACGTGAATGAATTTTTGAAAGAGTTTAGACAGCATATAAATTTGAATTACATATATTTTTCCTTTTATCGCAACGTATTTCTGTGCGCTTTGTAATGTTAATTCCAGGCTGAATTTAATATTGTACATGTGTATATTAATACGACGTTGTTATGTCGAAATTGCGAAGAATAATTGAATCAAATTTGAACAAATACGGGCTCGTCGCCGTTTTTAAAATAATTGTACAAAAGATGATTATTTAAAGAATAAATGATTCTGATTAAAATTACAACCAACTATGGCTAATTACATAAGCGTATAAAGGGATATTTAACTTTGCTGATTTTGCATTGTATTTTTTTTTTACCAGCATTTGGTCAAATATATTCATGAATAATGAATAATGATTTTAAATATATATTTGTAAATGTATTAGCGTATATAAAATATATGTTTTATACGTCTAAATTATATTTATGTCAAAATGTATATTTAACATATATTTGAATACGTGTGAACGTTGTGTAATACGCTAGTACACTTTTTTTGTGAAAATACAAAATTATAAATCGTTACTCGTTATTCGCGAATATATTATATCCAGTACTGATTCCCACCGAGTTGATCGCAGTTGATCGTAGAATTTTATATTCAATGCGTAGAAATAATTCTTCACTGTGTGAAATTATTAGGTTCATAATAAAGGCTTTTTCAATTGAGATAACAGGGTAGAGTATCCTACATTTAAGATAATAGCGTGTAATGGAAAATACAACAGAGTGCAAGGCACTATCATATAAAATGAAGGAATAGAATTTGGGTACCTTTTATCGTGTCTTCGATCCTGCAACACTCACATTACCGTAATCATTGTGCAACATCCAAGGAGGATAGATAATGAAATATTTTATGGCAAATCGTAGATATAAAAATGCTTAAAAAGCTTCTTAATAGACGAGGACTAGAAAAAAAAACATTTATGCGATTATTTGTGTGCGTGCGTGTGTGTGTGCATAATTTATTTCTCTTTTTTATCTAAGAATGTATATACGTTAATACCTATAAGATTTGTTTGTGATAAGTCTCAAAGACTTGTTGCTCAGTGAAATCAAAGTTGAGATTTATTGCAAACATTTAGACGAGGTTTCTTCCATCAAAATGGAGCTTTGCTTTAGGCACAACTTTAAGCATAGGAAACATATTGTGATGATACACCAAACAACAACACATATGTATTTTAATGTTTAATCAAATAAATTTTCATATCTCGAAAGACAGATGCATATAATTATATCATGTATACATAACTTTACGAAGCAGATTATATCACGTCGGTGCACGTGGAAAATTCGCAGCTAACATTTACGATTGTTTTATAAGCAAATGAATATATTATATACCGTAACGCTAAATCAAAATGAAATTATAGCTAAGGCGAATATTGCATTTAGCTCATTTAACATGTAAATACATATGTGGATACACAATCGCCCGTTACATTGTACGGATAAGGTCAATGAAATCGTGACTTTTGCAATTTTATGTATTTTAAAAGCCATCTTTTAAGTTACAGAGAGAAATGAGCTTGCCGGATAACGCTAATATCGATCGGCGCGTCCCTTTATTGATACTATAGATACACCATATAAATGCGTGGTACGACATCGACTTCGATCGTCGATCATACATCGTTTATATTCTACGAGTACTCGTCCATCATCCCTGTAGATGCAGATATCCTATCCCTGTGGAGAGAGCATGGTTCTTTTTAAAAATATCTTATTTTAAATAGTTATTAGTCTTGAAACGTAGATTGTACGCCCGCTGTATTGAAAGGGAAGGAAAATACCGTTTTCTTAATATATGCTGTAGGCGGAACACTATATGTATTGGAATTGCAAGCGTCGAGGAGTCATTTTAATGCACGCTCGTGCCTCGCACATGACGTATGCCACGTATCAAGGGCGCCAAGAAGTTCGCCAACCGTACAGCTGGTTGTCTGGAACATAAGATGGTCACGTCTCGAGAAAAAGTGTACACACTGTATTATTTTTATAATTAAAAAATTAAAAATTACGCGCGAGATACCAATTGCAATACGATTACAATTTAAGATATTGATATAAATTATAATTAATGCCAATAAAATTAATTGTCAGGGCAACGACGAGTAGATGGATTCTTACCTGTGTATTGTCTTCGAGATCGCCAGATCGGTTTTGTTATGGATACCGTCAACGGCGGGTTTGTCCGGTTCGCCGATGGGCTGAATCGGGGATGCACCCTCATTGGAAATGGAGAAATTAACTTCCGTAGTGCCAGCGGAACCAGCAGCGGCACCAGCGGCACCGGCCAGGAGCAGGGCCTCGACCGGTGCCAATACGACGACAAAGCCGTCCACGTGGATGCGATAATTCTCCGAACCGTTCTGCCGCTGGTCGTAGAAATCGGTGGTATCGGGATACCTGGACGTCGGCGCGGCCGTGGTCACATCTATCTCCTGCGGTACCACCGAGGTGGCCACGATCTCGGTCTTGATCTCGGACTCGATCTTGGACCCGGTCGGCTTGTCGGCGACGGGTAAACACCGAACGCTCGCGCCGAAGAACGCGACGATTAGCACGGTTTTGAACACGCGCATGTTGATTGATAACATTGATGAGCGGCTACTCGTCGAGTTGCCTTATCCACTCGACACACTTCGGTCTGTCCAGGTCTGTCTTCTATTCGCAAAGTCTGTCCTCGACTCGAGTCCGAGATTCCTAATTATGGCTTTCTACTCGATTTCGATTCGAAGCACCGGTGACCTCGGGAAACTGCGGGATGCTTCTTCCTGTTCGGCTCCGGTCGTGAATTTGCCAAGTTATTTCTTGCTCGACGGACCACTTTTTGCGACTCTTAAACGAGACGACGCGGAAACGCGTTTGGGCCAAGGACCGCGGTAACCGGTGCCGCGAGGATGCGACGAAAGCGGACGAAACGACGTTGGAGAACGTGGGACAACGTGTCTGGACAACACGGAGGATGCTCGAGGTGTGATGACCGGGCGATGTCTCGTATAACAGAGGACGATCCCGATCCCCACCTGGGCCGATCCGAACCTGTGAGCCTTCCTTCGGCTCGGTTCTAGAGACGGATCCCCGGAAAAGTTCAAGAACCTCGGCGTATACTGACGGCAACCTGCCGCTAACGGCACATATATCGTCACGGCACTGTTGATACGCCGTAAACTTCTTGTAATTTATGCGAAGATTGCCGGGAGAGATTCGCTCGAACTTGATTAAATCTGCAAAATACCCTCTCCTCCTCGCAATTTTACCGGCCGACTCTCGTAGAGCTAAAGTCGACGATATACTCAAGAAGGTATATGAT